GTCCCCAGGGCCACCTGCCCCGCGTGCCTCGGGAAGGGGGCCTGGGAGGTGGTGCCCACCCGACTTTCTGCTGTCTTGGCCGCATTACACCTCTCCACTTTGCAGCCTTTGATTCAGCAAAATCAAGGATGCAAACTTCTTAGGAGTACTTAGTTTCCATGGCAACCAGAGCTGACCTCAACATTATTGTTCTCAAGAGGGGACTGACTTTACTATACGTTCATTCACTGAATTAATGGACTCCCGGTTCTTTTATCAGCAACCCCTGAACAATGGAAAGAGAGACGTGTCGTCGAAGGGCTTTCAGCCCCTGTCCAGCCTTTTGTGTCCGGCTTACTGTGAGGAGGCAAGTCTATTCAGCCTGAGATTATCAAAATCAACTCGGGGCTGTCTCGGGGCAGCTAAACACACTTTGATTTCATAAAGACATAACTGATCCCACATGCAAATTAATTTCTTAGGTGAGGTACTATGGTGTGATTTTTTCCCCCTCCTTGCAATAAAGAACGTTGTAGGGAAACCACAGTTCAGTCAGAGTGCACTGCGGGGTCCCAGTGTGGCAGGCAGGCTGGCAGGGGACAAGCAGGAAAAGGATTTCAAGAGCTCCTCTCAGGCACAGCGCTCGACATCGCCGAGCTAAGGTGGTGGCGAGGCCCAGCTACAGTGAGTACCTGCGGCCCGGGGCGGGCAGCTCCTCGCCTCCTGCCTCCTTCTTGGGTATTGCTTACTCCAACCTCATTGCTGGCCCTCCCTCTCGTCTTTCCCTTGCCCTCTAGCCACCAGGAAAATACCTCCCTCCGCTTCCCCAGGAGCAAACACTACCAACAACACAAACCACAGGCAGAGAAACCCAGGACCGATCCCTGGGCGTGCAGGGTTGTGCGCAGCCATCAGCCACCCAGGGCCAAGCCACCCCCGGGACGTGGTCTGTCCGGGCTCAGGGTGTGTGGCCTCCAAGAAACTGCTGTGTAAAGGACACTTGGCAGTGGCCTGTCTGTCCCCACGCCCGCTGCCCGCAGCACACTGAGCTCTTATCCCGGCTCTCCAGCCATCCTTCATTAGCTCCGGGCCCCCAGGGAGGGACCCAGGAGACCTCCGAGTTTCCTGTTACCAGAGGTATCTCGTGTGGCCACACAACAGCCCAGTGGGACAGGCTGAGGGTCTGACATCCACATGATCGTCACACAAATTATCATAATTATCAATCAGTCACTCCATTTGGACAATGCGACATGGGGCTCTCTGATGACTCTTATGACCTGTAGCATTTTGCATGCAGTAATAACAGGGAGAGATTCGTGAATCCATCCTGTCCCCTCTTCCAGCGTGGGTCGACTCCCGCCCCTGCCCTGAGGGCTTCGCAAGAGGCACCTCTTCCAGGTCCCAGTCCTTTTCCCAATGAGGCAAATTCCCGATTTATTTATTTGGAGGGGGAGTGGAGAAAGGGAGAAAAGAAATACACAAAGCGAAAGGGCACTTCCTTTTGTTAGAGCTCCCCCCAGTAGCACTGTATTAACACGTCCTTCCTTTTAAAGTCGGTGAAAGAAAACAAGATAAAGCAGGACAAAGGCAGAGGCCGTGGGGCCGTGTTTCCCCTTTTATATCACCGAAGAGATTGAATCAAAATTCCTTCAGCTGATAGCATCTCCCCGGCGGACTACACTCTTGTTAACGGATAAATTCAAGCCCTCCAGAAAGTCAAAGAATAAATTTAAGCCTTTTGCCAAATGTCTATCCTATTGGATTTTGATAAGACGGCCATTGAGCCTTAATAATGTCTTCCATCCATTTTCCGCGAGCGAGCCCTTAACACGGCTCTTTATTCGTCCCCAAAGCCTCCTCGCCCGGCCTTTTTATTACGGGCCCGGCACGCTCTCCGGGGAGCCGGCGGTGATGGATGGACGGCCGGCTCGATTATCTCCCGCAGATGTTTGCTCTCGGGGACCCCGGGCTTCCCCTAGACAAACAGACCGCAATGGAGGGGGCGGCCAGGGCAGCCGCAGAGGTCCGGCCCGGGCGCGCCGAGGGCTGCGGGGACGCGCGCCAGCGCCTGGGCGCACGCGG